GTGGGCCTAAGTCTAGGTTAGGATACATGAGACCCATTCTCAAAAACAAACGAACAGGAAAACAGGACTACAAAGATGGGCCAGCAGTTAGCAGCACTTGCTACTCTTGCGAAGGAGTGGGGCTCAGTTTCCAGCACTCACATCAGATGGCTTAAGCTGCCTGTAACTTCAGTTCTAGGAGACCCATCATCCTCTTATGGCCTCCAAGGGCACCTTCATGCATATGGTGAACACATATACATTTACATATACCCACATATAAAATGAAATAAAATTTAAAAATAAACAGTTACTTAGTGATATATGATAAGGCAGGTCAATTTGAATTAAAATGCAAAGTTGTCCATAAACTATGACAGATGCTGCTATAAGGCTTTGATAGACAGGCTATGTTGTTCAGCTGCTACAGGTTGGTGTATTAGAGCGCTTCAGTTGTTAACTGTACACACTTGGGACGAGGGATCCTCAATTGGGGAATTTCTTCTATTGGATTGGCCTGTGGACATATCTGTGGGGCATTTTCTTGATCGTGGAATCACATGGGAGGTCTTAGTCCATTGTTGGTGCTGCCATCCCTGGGCAGGTGGGCCTGGCTTATATAACAGAAGTAGCTGAATAAGCCAGGGGGAGCAAGCCAGTCAGCTGCATTCCTCCATGATCTGCACTTCAGTTCCTCCCTCCAGGTTCCTGCCCTGGCTTCCCTTGCTGATGAACTGTGATCAGGATTGTAAGCCAAATAAACCCTTTCCTCTCCAACTTGCTTTTGGTCAGTGTTTTTATCACAGCAATAGAAAGTAATTAGGACAGTTGGGTTGGGAAATACCTAAAGACTTTTAATAAGAGAGACAAGATAAAATAACAACAACAACAAAAAAGTTTTAAGGCAAAGAATCTGGGATGGGTGAGCTTTAAGAGGATACCAAAGAAGAGGATGTGGGTTCTTCATGTAGAATGTAGGAGAAGCGAGGAAGCTTCTTGGAAAGTTGTTACTGGGAAGGGCTCACATAGAGATATCCGGTAGGAAGAAACATTAAAGCTTAGTGCTGATTAGAGGATGAAGACAGCCTTAAGGAAGGGATGGAGTATTTGTGGTTTGGGTTTTAGAATTTTGACATGAATAAGATTGGATTTGAAGGCATGAGAAGTTTGTGTTAGAATTATTAAAATGTAGAATAATGAGATCAGGAGAAAAGGGATTTGGAGATGTAGATGGGGAAATTGGGGGCCGAGCTGGGAATGTTCTATTATGGCATATTTTCACAACAGGAGAGTTAAATCCCATGGGATTTCTGGGGGCAAGGTTATAAAAACTGAGCAAAAATCCAAGAGTAGAAACCTTAGAGTATATGCTATTAATACTGAGGCCTCCTGAAGACTGTTAATTGACCACTAGTTTGAAGAGTCTTATGGTTTCTGATATTCATAAACGTCAGGATACAAAATACACATGCTTTTGTTATCTACAGTTACATAGATTTCTCACTTCCATTCATCCTAGGTAAATCTAAACGCATATTTCCCAGCATCAGAAAGATCATTTACTTCACCCACTCAGTCTGTTTACATATGGCCTTTGTTTATTTTCCTGTCAGGGAGAGTTTTTCATTTCCTAGTACATGTCTGGATGGCTTAATGCAAGCAAGGCATGTCTCATAGCTGGGAATGCTTGTATATGACACCAACTCTGCTTGATATTCACAAAGGCTGACAGTGCTAATGACAGCTTCCCCAGCGTATTTACAGTCGTTTGTTGGTTTGCATCTCTGTGGCATTTCCAGAAGAGAAGGGTTATTTACATTTGTTGTTCTTTTCCTTTTCTTTTTAATCTGTTAAGGATGGCAAATAAATGGGAAAGCATCTTAGATTAAATTTTCCTATGTTCAAAGACTGTTTTGCATTTTCTTTTTACCTTCTAATATATATGTATTTTTCAGCATCTGAGATTGAATATTATAGTGGGACGCATTAGGGGAGTTATTGTAAAGTCAGATTTTTAAGATCCTCAATCACTAATGCATTATGTATCTCTGAAAGTCCAGATGAGAAGAGTATATGGATTTCTACTGCTGAAATTTCCCCTTTTCCTTCCATATCTTGCTGGCATAGTAAAATATTAAGTCTCTTTGATGATGGAAAGAAGAGCTTGATGTGATAGAAATGCTGTGGTGGGTATGAACCATCCGTCTCTTTCTTGGCTTATGCTTTCAGCAATGGTAATGACCCATCAGCGTACTATATGAAATGGTATGCTTTTACCTTTGCATGTATACTGGGATATTTACTACTTCTGCCTCATTATATTGCCACTTGAATTACCAGGAAATAAACAGATTGCTTCTGTGTTTAGTTCTATCAATTTGTTGTTCAATCTTTTTAGGCATTTGTTTATTTGGTAGAAAATGTGGATAAGTTGTAAGGAGGAAAAGATAAGTCATGACTGAGATTTTTCTCACATTCATAGTGATCTAAACTGGCTAATGATGTGCCAGAGACGTGATTAGCATGTGGAATTTAGAATGCTTTTACTATGTAGTAGCTGTTAAAAACACACTCTATTTTTCGCTAAATTAAATTGAATCTAGAGAAATGAATTGACATGTATTTGCCCAAGTAGCTAATTCATAGATGAGTTCTAAGAAGACCTGGAGTTTCTCAATTCGTACGGTTTCTCAATTCCTAGTCCCAAATTTCTTCAGTGTATTTTATACAGATACAATGAAAAATCAATTCCAGGGAGGAAAATAATGTACATTTCTAGAAAACAGTGATTCATAGTACTAATTAGGATCCAGATTAAACCCTTTAACTACAGGTATTGAAGAATTATTCAGAGAGATGCTACCTTGTGTCTTGTGACATGTTATGCTCTATTTAAGCAGAATATGATATAATTAATTATTTAAAACATCTCATAATTAGAGATAATTTGATTTTATACTGTATCACAGATCATACTATTTTATATACGCTATTTAAAAATATCTTTTATTTATTATTTTTATTTTATGTGTATGAGGATATTGCCTGCATGTAGATAAGTGCACCCATGTTGTGCAATGCCCGCAGGAGTCAGAAGAGGCTGTTGAATCCCCTGGGACTGGAGTTCCGGGCAATTGTTAGCCACCATGTGGGTGCTGGGATTTGAATCCGGGGCTTCTACAAGAACAACCAGTGTTTTTAACCACTGAGCCATCTCTCCAGCCCATATATTATTTTTTAAAAATTGAGTTGTTATAATTCCTACTGGTTTTAAAATTATTGAGATGTATTTGTTTCATATTTCAGCAAGAAATTTTAGTTTACTACTTAATAATAAATCACACTTCTTTTACTATGTGCAGAATATTTCTTTTATTGCACCCTGACAGTAATTATATAAATATCATAGATTTTAGTTTGTACAAATTATTTTATTAGAAAAAAATCATCACTATGTTCTTGTAACATAATTGTGTATCATTTGAATTTTATTTATTTTATTATTTAATTAGTATTAGAGCAACTATTTAATTTTCTTATCTCTTTTCTGACACCTCTTAAAACAGGGGTATTTAGAAGAAGTTCATTAAAATAAGCATACCATTGGTATTCAGATTAAAGTTAAAACACATTTCAGAAAAGAACATACTAATATAGAACATTAAGGGTCTAACGTGATACTGAGCCCATCGGCTTAGACAGAAGTTACAACATGTCAGATCTGTGGAGTGGAACAATCCTGTTTTCACAAAACTGAAGGGAAACATATTATATATCCTGGTGTTGTTGTTTCCATGGACTACTGTTTAGTTTTTGTCAACTTGACACAAACCTAGACATACCTGGGAAGAGATAATGTCAATTGAGGAATTTCCTCCATCAGTTTGGCCTGTGGGCAAGTCTGTGGGGCAATTTCTTGATTGCTAATTGATGTAGGAGAGCCCAGCCCGAGGTGTGTGGTGTCAGCCTCTGTAGGTGGACCTCAGATGTATGAGAAACATAGCTGAGCTAGCCAGGGAGAGAAGTCAGTAAGCAGTGTTCCTCCATGGTCTCCACTTCAGTTTCTGGCCCAGGTTCCTGACCTGAGCACCGTCCCCGATTTCCTTGATGATGAACTATAAATTGTGAGCCAAACCAACTCTTTCCTTCCCAAGTTGCTTTGCTTGTGGAATTTTATCACAAAACCAGAAAATCAAACCAGAACATATGGTATATTAAAACCATTTATTCTGTGGATTTTTGTACCTAGAAAAAGGAAATAGAAAATGTTCAAGCTTGATGGTTTGTTAATTTTATCTTTAGCCTTCTTTGTTATTGCTAACCATAATATTTTAATGATGACGAAAATTATGATGATGAAAGTATTACTAATAAAATAATCAAGAGTTATCCCATGACCAATAAACTTGAAGAGGATGGAAACCTAGTGTTGCTGTTTTGTCCTTGGGAAAGTCATCCTATGCTTTATCATCCTGGCTTCTTTATCTAGAGTATGAGGTTCTACTAGACAAATTCACTTGCTCTGCTTTTACTCATCTTCACTTGCATTTGCTTGACAGAATCTTCTTCACTTTCTCTCTTAAGGAAACATATTAGGGAATAGATATGAAGTCAGATTTTGTAGCCATCAGCCCAGCCATATTAGAATACATAAGGTATTTCTTCTCTATTTTATTCAGCAGTGCTTCTGTAATAGACATGAACCCTATCTAATGCAGTTGGGATAAAAGAGCAACAGTTTATGCTGTTGAAGAGATTCAATGTTTGTAAATAGGGTGCTCATCTATTGCATATTGTCCTTTCCCTGAAGATGCTCCTGGGAGCCTTTTGGGAGGTTCATGCACGAGACAGTCCATGAACCTACCTCATGAATTCATGAATCCAACACAGATGATTTGCTATGTGTTAAGCAGATCTGCCTAAAATAAATAAGAATTTATGATTTTCAGATATTAACGTGCTCTGAATGTGTTCTAAGAAAGGCAATACTTACCATGCATTTCAATGATTTCTGGTTGCAGAACCTCAGATGGTGGCAGAGTGGTCGGCACCATAGAAGTCAGAGTCCTGAAGATGGGGGAGATTGAGGATGGGGACACAGATCACATCACAACAGATGTGCAGGGACAAAAGGTAGGATCTCAGACAGCTCATTGCACAAACCAAATCAGAAATGGTAAGCTTTGCCAGAGCCTCTTTGCCAACAACCTATAGGTTTTGAAATCTCATTATTCAAAAGCTAAATGAGAAATCAGCTCTGGAATTGAAGTACAGAATATGCATTTCCTCTTCTGAACCAGAGCACCGTTTACATGTAACTATGCAAAGCTATGTGCCATTCCAAAACACCTTCCTCTTCTGTGCCACTTTCCATGTTGACGTGTCTCTTAGTTGGAACAGAAGTATTGATCATTCTTGGAGTCTGCTGAAATTATCCCTGCATGAGGTACAGGAAGGATTGTGGGAAGTCTATTACCAAAAGTAGCCTGCTCTTTCTTCCCCAAGACATCTATGGAAAGAGGTGTAATTTTAATTTAATATTTATATGATGGAGGGCATTTTAACAAGAACTCTTATGAACTTGCAGAAATAGAGTCAGGAAAAATAATAAAGTAGAGACATAGGTCTGAAGCAGGCTCAGTGCCATCAAAGAATAAAGCAGTGTTTCTGAAGCCCAAGTTAAAGGCCCAAAGCACAGAAATAACTGTATAGACCTTTCTTTGTCTGCTTCATTCCCTGTATAGCAACAAGAATAAAAAAAAGGTAAATATCAGCTTAAATATTTTTCTTATAAGTACAGTTTCTCTTATATTAAAGCAATTGGGGTACATAGGGAAAGCTTAAAACTTCCAGTAGTTTGATAGGAAATGATTTTTAGACTACAATTTTATTAGGAAATAGTTTTTATATTATAAATTATACTTTGTCATAAGTGAGCATTTTAAAGAATAAAACCTGTTGTGGTTTATTTTCTAATTTGTTGTTTCTTAATTATGAATTTGCTGACTTTTGAGAATTGGGAAATATCTACTTGGGAGATAATACTTACCTAGCATTTACAAAATTGTTTTATTTATAAAAAAAAAATGTAAGACTGTCTTTCAAAAAAAATTATTCTCCTCCCCAAATAGGCTAAGATCTTTTCTGTTCTCCCTCTGTCCTCTTGGAGCATTATCACATTTCATGAAAATATTCCATGGGTGCCTGTGAATATTGGGGCCATAATGAGATTTTTAAATAAATCCTTTGGGTCTATGCATTCAGCACTCGTGGCCTGAGGTTTAGTCTTTCCATTCTAGAGATGCTCCATGTAATGTTACACAGAAAACTCATCTTTCCTACCACTACACACATTCTTGCTGTAAGATGAAGAACAACAATTTGGATGCTAAACAGGGCACCAATTACTAAACAGACAGCTAACCTTGCCTGGTCCTGTAGCAATGTACCAGGGCAGCAGCAGAAGAAGCAGCAGAGGAAACACTTCCCATTTCAAAGCAGAGCTGCTTCCCATGATGCAGAGGCCATCCCAGGGTGCCTTTGCACCCCTTCACAGCTCACTGGCCCCTAGACTGCACACACCAGGCCATTGCTATGATGAGGAATTGCAAACTGAGGAATGTTGTGTCTGTTGGGGCTCCCTCTGAGCTTACCTAACAACTTACCTGTCCTCGTGTCCGGGCAATTAGTAAGACAAGGCAGTATAAACTGATAGATATTCTTTTTTAGAAGTGAGGAACTTGACACCTAGGATGTGCCCCACCAAACTCCCAAATAGTTTCTGGACCAGGAAGGGGAAGGGGTGGATTGTCAGAGTCAGGGAACCAGAATCCACACTGCTAGGCAGTATATTCTACACATGACAGGGAAGCTGCACCGATGACATCTCCACAATCTGACTGCTTAAACGAGACCTGCATCATGACAGCCCTAGCAGCCATACAGTACGGATGGGGGAAATTTCTCAGGGCTCCACTTCTAAATGAAGAACTAAAAGCAATCAGTGGGTGCTGAGTGAGGGATATCAGTTTCTCCAGGGGTGAGCTCCCTAAGGTTATCCAAACCCAATAAGTCAGTACCTAAACTTGTATACACAAGCACCACTTAACAAAATCATTTTATTGATGTGCGTGTGTGTGTGTGTGTGTGTGTGTGTGTGTGTGTGTGTGTGTAACAAGAAGAAAAGAAATTGAGAAGTTCAGGATCATGCAAGGAGTTGGAGTGGAGAGAGAAAGGGATAGAAATGATGTAAATACAGTACTCATGTAGGAAATTCTAAAAAAAAATTAAAAGACCTAAACTGACAAATATTACACAAAATAAAAAATAAATGGTGAGACTGAGCTATTTTAGAAATAGAGGTTGGTAGTCTCAGCTCATGCTGTGTGAGTCAGAGTTAACAGAATTTGTAAACTCACCAAACTTTGTTGGTATCAAATTAGTCCTGTCTGACCTTTTAGAAAGCCTTGACTTTTTACAGTTTTTCTCTTCATAAAGTGACTGTTAAAATTCATTTGCAAGTCCCTAAGAATATTTATGATTGAAGAATATGGTAGGGTTCAACATGCACAGTATTTATGAGTTGCATGAAAGTAAGTTTATCTCAATGCTTTTCAAAGTGCAATCAAAATCTAAAATCATTCAACATGTTTTTAGAACATGCATGAACATTTCTATAGAACTGCTCACCCAAAATTCATATGAAGTACATAAACATGGTCTGTCCTTTGTGGTGATTTAATTCTTAGTTTGCTGACGTGAGATAAAATGAAATACCTAACATAAAAGTTATCCCTAAAATAACATGCCTCTCTACAATCTACGTGGCTTTGAATGGTTAAAGACAGGATAAGAACTCAGTGGATAAGAGCACTTGTGTACAAGTCTGATGACCTGAATTTGAATCTTCAGCACTCACATAAAACCTGGACATATTTGTGTGCACCTGTAACTCTTGTATTGGGGGACAGAGAGAGGCTAATCCTGGGAGCTTGTTGGCCAGTCAGCCTAACCAAAATGGTGACAATATGGTGGAAAGTGATAGATGGAAATATCTAATGTCCTGCTCTGCCCGCTACATATATTCACATTGGAGCGTGCACCTACACACTCAAGTACATGCAACATACACACATATGCTCACAGAAAGGAGAGGAAGAGGAAGAGGAAAACAGAGAGGGAGAGGGAGAGGGAGAGAGAGAGGGAGAGAGAGAGGAAGAGGGGAGAGAGAGATGAGAGAAAGAAATTAATATGTACAGATTTGAAGGGAAGGAGTAGAACTTAGCACTATAGTTAGATGCTCTGAGAAGGAGCACACATATCATGTAAATTGGAAACAGATAAGTGAGTGATACCTACTTGCACTGGTCAGTTTGGGATTCTATAACAAATGCCACAGGCTAGGAAACTAGAACAGCAGAAACTTACTAAACTGACATTCTCAAATGTAGAAGACTAAGATCAATATGGTAATTTGGTAATTTTTTTGGTTCCTGGTGAGGAATGAATTAATATTAGTTAACAACTTTGGAGGGTACTTTCTGATTATGTGCCAGGGATTTAATCTTGAGAGAACAGTAAAATTATAAAATAAAAATGATACGAAGTTGAAATACCCTCTACTTTCCAGTTGAATCAAGGGGGACGTTCCAACTCTATGTCTTTTTTGTGACATATACAGACCTTTTATTAGGAATGAATCTTAAAGTGATGTTTGATTACAAGGAGTCAGATCTGCCTTTGTGGAGGAAAGCAGTATCTCAGAAGAGTAGCCTGATCTGTGAATTATAGATTTTGTTAAAAAAGGTTCAATCTAAATCATCCTGCTTCATTACATTGACAGGGCTCCTCTTTTAAAAGAATGTCTCATAGCTTTATCTGATTACTTCATAGAAGGCTGTCAGGCACAAACTGTGAAAAAAATTTCTAGACCAGTATGACATTACCAGATTTGACTCTTCTGCAAACAGCCATTATACACCATAGAGGAGAATATTGATATGATGAATATAGTGTTTATGGGAGATTATTTTTAACAGCCTTATATAAACTGAAATGAATAAAGGACACATTGGAAATAGGAGAAATGAAATTTAAGTATGCCCAAACTTCAGTGCACGTTTCTCCATTGATTTGAAAAGTGAGTGCATTTCTAAATTAGCTCTGCTTTGAAAGAAGAGGACAATGTTCAACTTCTAGTTGATCAGAAAAATTATTTAGAAGACATGAAATATTAAGAGGTATTCACAGTAATTCAGCTAATCAGTAAAGTTAGAGCACAGTACAGAAAATGTTGTGTGTTATTTACCTGTACAAATTCACTAAATGATGTAATTAATGTCTCATTTGAGGGATAAACAGTAGAGAGAATGCAGGAAATATTATTTACCAGTGCTTCAAATTACCTGCCTTCTTCCTCAAAAATATTTAAGAAACACATGCATTTCTTTATGGAAAATAGACACAGTGTCTGAGCTTCTCCAAAGAGACCAGTCCCTGGGGAAAAAAAGAAGGGGTGGATGGGGGTAAGGACATATTTTAGAACAGATAAGATAGAGCCCAGCAATTCTGGTGCAACTTCCTGGGAAGGGCGGTCTGAGCCTGGGGATTCTTCTGTTCAGAGCTTTGCAAGACTTACAGGAGGATAACAGTTTCACTTGCGCTCTCTCAAACAAAGAACATTCGAGGCATTTCATTTGCTGTATTTTGTTTATATTTGTTTGTGAATAGCTGGCATGATTGCTGTGAAAATTCATCCTATTCCCTCCAACCTTTTTCTGGAGTAGAAAGAAACAAAGACTAGATGTGCCCATGAGAATATTAGTCGCTACCGGCCACCTGGGAGCAAAAGAATTTTGTTTCTTGTCTCAGTTACAGTTTGATGAGAAGCTTCGGGGAGCACAGGCTTGGAGACGGATTGTCCAGAGCACTCTCATCCATCCTGGTTCGCTCACTAAGAGCCCATCACTGTGTTCTCTGTGCCTCTTTGCTCGTTCTGGCCAGAGAAATTTTAGTTTTCAGGGATCATGAACTTTTTCAATCATTGGTTCTGCACATCAGGTTATTTTTAAATGGACCTTATTTTATAAGCAAGAATGTGCATTGTTTGGATAATGAAAAAGATCTAGCTTTTTGTCTTATAAATTAGATCATTCAATATTCTTATGTTGTATTTTAAAGTTGTCTTTACTTAAAATACAGACAATGATTTGCTGAAATTAGTCAAGGTGAAAGGAATAGAAATTCTTAGGTTTTTAAGCAAGGCTTACTTTACTAAGACCGTATCTTTTGTGCTTTGGAGATAATTCTTTACTTTGTAGTTATTTCCTGAGTAAGTTTATACTTTAGTTTATAATACTTTATAATTAGATAATCCAAATATATTATATATAAATATGAGTTAATCATAATTTTGATAAGTATTATACTAAAAATAAGGTTGGAATCAGTGTTACAAAAATGAGTCACGTAAAACTCTTGAAACAATGTATAGTGCCTGATGAATTTGCAAACAAAAATAAAATAATTTCTTTTCTTATTTTGATTATTTTAAAATGTGATTAATGTTTTCTTCTATTAATTTCTAGTGTGCACTGGTGTATGAATGTACAGCTCCAGAAAGTGTGAGCGGAAAAGATAACTCACCTTTTTTGAGTACGGGTATGTAACTCAATAGTAGATGCTTGTGTTAACGACATATGAACATCAATTTAAATTTTCTATGAATTCAACAAAGAACTTGGTCAGCGTCCTCACAGAGTCATTTCTGATCACTTAGAAATGAACTGGCAAACCAAGAAGGCAAGCAGAGTGAAAGTGGAGTCGATAAGTTCATAGGAAAATGAATGAAATACCTTGACTTTATGTCAGAACAAGTAATATCTTTTTGGTTATTGAATTGAAAACTTAAAGCTAGAAGCACTGAAAAGCAGGCTAGGCAATAGCAAGGTGGAGCTCACATTGTTTGACTTTCAAATTATATAGTTCATGAAATAAAATTGTTGAAAAATGGTATATGGAATCCATAGGGAACTTTAGAAGACATATTGAATCTATTTCCGGGTAAATATCTCTGCATTGTGTTATTGATAGTGATA